TAGCGTGCGCATCATGCCAGCCCAAGCCACGGTATCAGCGGCCTCGGATTTGGTCTACTTATGAATTGGTCGTGTTTGAAGATTATTTCTATCGTGGATTTGGTGTTCTGATCCATCCGTTCCTTCATGGATTGATTGAGTATTACGCCATTAGTCTTTGCAATCTAGGCCCAAACTCCATCCTTCACGTTTCTATCTTCATCCATTTCTGCGAAGCCTATCTTGGCATTCTCCCACATTTTGATCTCTTCCACCACTTTTTCTGTTTGAAATCTCGCGGGAGATCTGGATCTAGAGTTGTGGGTAGCGCATACTTGCAGCTGCGGGATGGGATGGTTGGGCAGTACATCGCTACCCCGTTGAACATAAACGTGAAGTATTGGGCATAGCGATGGTTCTATATGCCATAGGGGGAACGTTATGTGGCATGCAACATTGATCCTATTCCCATGAGCAACGCTAGGTGGTCGAACAGATCTAGTGCCAGTGGAATGGAGCAGGTGAGGGAACTCCTGGCATTGATTGACCGAAGGAGAGTAGATGGGGTCATAGTGGTGACGAACTTTACTTTTTGGCGATGCCAGCCCAGCAAGGAGAGGGCACACCCTGCATATGAATTCTGGGAGGGTACTAATGGGACCCGAGAGGTGCCCGAGCTGATTGCTCGAGAGGAAGTCAAGCGGTGGATTGGGGTGTTGTTTAACCTCACGAAGCACCACAAGCTTGACGACTAGTAGAGGGCCTTTAGTGTTCGGAACCTCCCACCGGTGGTAAGAGTCTTTTTATTAGTTTAGCCTAATTTCTTTTTTGTTGTGAACGGACTAGGGACTCACTCATGCTCTTGAAGATACGTGGGCAGGACCGAGCAGCATACTTCTTAGCCGTGCCATCGACGGACTGGCTGAGGGGTGTTCATGCCCGGCTGATCAGTCCCTAGCGTCGTGCCAGCTTGAGGGCTGGTGGAGACAGCTCGGATGATAACGACGACGAAGACGAAGGTGAGCGGACATCAGATGTCCATGAGAAACTTTGGGGGAAGCGGCCTACTAGCGAGGAGCCATCTTTGAAGAGAAGGAAGACGACAGGATCATCCCATGGAGAAGAGCGGTCGGTGAACATCGGCGCTCCCGCTCACCCCAAAGACGGTGAATGGTGGTTTCAAGCTCGTCGGATGACGATGGGTTGGCAGCACCACCATCTCCGAGGGATGAGACACCACCACCGGCCATGCCGGCCGGAGCAGAGACCCACGAGATGCGACGGACGCGGCAAGCCACTGCCACGACGCCCGGTGGTGTTCGAGCATCGTCAGCGGCGACGACTCGTGTGGTGGCAGCGTCAATAGCCCAGGCAGCTACCGAAGCCCCCGAGGTCACAGTTACAACCCCTGTGATAACAGCGCAGGCGGCCACCGTAGTCCCCACGGCTGCGCGGACGACCCTAGTGACGACGGTGGAGACGTCGAGCGGTTCGGGTGGTGGTCCGACAGGTAGCGGGCGGGGGCACCGGTTCTGAGCTGCGCAACGGGAGTCGCAGTTGTAAGTATCTTGTTTACTTGCTATGTTGCTTTGGTAGTGTAGTTTGCTTCTGCTCAACACCGAGAGCAGAGCAACCCAGAGAGAGAGGGGCACCGTGAGCTCCTCCACCGCAACCGTCGTCTTCCTCCTCTCCGATGAGTGGAAGACTCCACCGCCGGTGAGGCAATCTCAGGATTAGCATCGAGCTAACCCCCTAGCAAATCTCTTCCTTCCTCCTGTACACTCTGTTGTAACCCCTAATTTTAGGTGCTCTTGAGTATAAGGATCATCAGGTGCTGAACGTAGGGCATCGATCGGCCCGAACCAGGATAAACCGTTGCGTCCTATCTGTGATTCTTGTGTTCTTGAGTCCACCCAAGCCACCGGAGACACGTACGCTAACACCAACTCGAACAACAATGCTTGTCGCGGTTCCGACACCGCAACACAAGCATTTGCTTAAAATGTTTTATCTGTTTTTGGACGTATGTTGCAATTATTTTTTATCTGGATGTTGCATATGTTTTCATAAATATGTTGCAACAGTATGCTTGAAATGTTTCAGTTGTTTCAGTCTTATGTTGCAGTAAGTGTTTTTCCATGTTGCAATTGTTTTATCTGAATGTTGCATATGTTTCACACACATATTGCAAGCGTATGTCCCAAATGTTTCATCTATTTCAAATGTATGTTGCATTCGAGTGTTTCATGCTGCAAGTGCAGATGACCGACGTTGGTGTCCATGAGGGCGGTCAGGGCCAAGCCGCAGCCATCGACGCGTGGAGGAGGCACAGACCGCTGGCGGGGGTATGGGGAGGAGGCACAGGCCGTGCGGTGCTATTGTGGAAGAGGCGGGGGTGAGTCTTCCAGGTGGCCTGGAAGAGACGGGCGCTATGCCGGTGTGGAAGAGGCGGGGTGAGTCATCCGAGCAGCGTGGGCAGCGGATCTAAAGCGGGCGGTTCGGATGCGAGCATGGAAAACGGAGCTGGCACGGCCGACGCGCAAATCCGAGCGGACGGTATGAAAGAGCCGCGGGCGTCTGGACGGACACATGCGTTCGGACGTTCGGGTGCTAGTGCTGCCGATGCAAATAAGTGCACATCACATAAGTGATAAGTTTGGTGTAAATAGTTCTAGCCACAATTAATTTTCATATATGTACTACAAAGAGCGATATTAAAAAACTGTTCATATTTGTATTTGACATATCTGCATTTATATTTGTATTTGATTTAAAATATTGTCCGTATTTGTACTATATCTGAAGAAAATTATGAGTACTAAAAAGTATTTAAACAGAGGTGAATGTGCCCAAACTAACACTTTGGTCCTTTTTATTAAAAAAAAACAAGCATAACACTTTGGCCAAACAAAATTGGTCTGGTACTTACTTCCGTAAGTTTTGGCTACAACCATTTCCACCTTGTTCGGGCGTCCGGCTGACCCCTCATTCATTCATGAGCCCCCTTAATAGAAAAAAGTTATCTTCACTCGTGATGCAGAAAATCTCCCGTGCAACATGGATCTGATGTCATCTGATCTTTGATCTGTTGGTCACCATCTCGCATGGTTGCATGCCACCTGCATGGTCCAAGCTGCTGCCCTGTCTTTCTGTGGAACGTAACGCTTCGGCCTGTCCGTGTGTTATGAGCCGTACGTACTGTTGCAGCGAATGAATAGTAGTTTTCTCTTATAATAAATCAGCGAATGATACTTTTAGCCATGACTTTCCAGTAAAGCAACAGGGCCTCCGTCAAGTTGAGTCCGGACACGTAGACAACAACAAAACAGTGTCGCATAGGAGATTTTCTACATCACGAGTGCAGATAATTTTTCCTTGTTTAGATGACCGTCAAATTCCAAGTTTTTTCACTCTCTCTCCATCACATCAATTTTTAGCCGTTTGCATGGAGCATTAAATGTAGGTAAAAAAAATAACTAATTGTACAGTTTAGTTGGAAATCATGAGATGAATCTTTTGAGCTTAGTTGGTCCACGATTGGACAATATTTACCAAATAAGACGAAAGTGCTACTATTTATCGGGTTGAAATTTTTTACAATCTAAACATGGCCTTAGTTGACACCTATGTGCCAACAACGCTGGTGTCCACGTTTCTTTCTCTTCCTCCATCTCGTCTTCTTCCTCCTAGATCGATCCAACCCACGTCCCCGGCTAGCGGCTCCTCTGCCACAGTTACATCGCCTGTTGCCCAGCCCCACCTTACCTTCCCCCGCCCTCCACTAATCGATTCAAGGAATCGTTCATCACCGGCCCTACCTCGTCGCCGTCGGCCTCGCCCACCACCGGTGCCCCCACCACCAACTGCACTCGTCGATAGGCCTCTGCCCTCCTCTAATCTCAATCGAAGAAAGAAGAGATGGATCCCTCGCCCCGTCGCCAGCTCCGCTCACCGGGTGGGGAAGCTCCGCTCACCGGATGTTCCCCATCGCCTCGCTAGCCGCCGGTCGAATCGTCAGGAAGAAGGTAGGTGCGAGGAAGACGATGCGCGCGCTGGGTCGTTCAATCACTCGTCAACGTGTGTATGCGTCAGTAACAACCAAAAGCAGCGCGCGTTGGGTCGTTCGTGTAGCACTGTAGCTCTCCCGCGTGGCGGTGCCGTCCGGAACGGTCACCGCAAAACAGGCAGCGATGCTGCTGAAGTGCTGATGCACGCACGCCATGTGCCAATCCTCTGCCGGCTTTATGCGACCACACCGACTGCCGTGGCCCGTGAATACTGGACCCGGTTCGCTGGACCGGACCCTCTGGCCTGTGCTTTCTATGGACCAGGCGACCAGCAATAGCAGAGGCAGATTAGCAGTCCTCGAAAGCTGTGCGTGCTCGTCTTCTTTTCTTACATGTTTGTGATTATTATTTCCTCGATTGATGCTTATATGCTCTCAAATAATTTTGGCAAATTTTGGGTGACAAATTGGGAAACCGACGAGTCTCGAGCTGTTGCAAGTAATAATTTAGGCCTTATTTAGTTTCTCCACCTAAAGTTTACTTCCTATTTCATCGAATATTTTAACATATGCATAGAGTATTAAATAGATTAAAAAATAACTAATTACACAGTTTACAACTAATTTTCGAGACGAATCTTTTAAACCTAACTAGTTCATGATTTAATAATATGGTGCTACAGTAACATATATGCTAATGATGAATTAATCAACCTTAATAAATTTATCTCCCAGATTACTTACGGATTAAGTAATTTATTTTTTTATTAGTATCCGAATATTCTATACTACACGCCGTATGATAGCACCAAACTTTACGCGTTGAATTTAAAGAAGGCCATATAAAAGAAGATCCGCACGAGCACGCGACCCGATACAGTGGATTCGCAATAATCACGTCAGTAAATTCACGCCCCTGTGCTAGTTAATGACAGATTGACAGTTAACACGAGGTGCTTGAGAGCTGGCTGCAAGCAACGGATACGGACTCCCGACACCACTCGCAAACCGGCCAATGATGAAGGCCAGCACCACCAACACCACACTGGAGCTCGGCTTCCAGAAAGACGGCACCGACAAGCCTGATGGCGGCACAGGTGGCGTGCTCTGGCCGTCGCTGATCTGCTACCTCGTCGTTGCCGCCACCACTTTTTGGGCCGTGGCGTCCATCTTGTTCCCGCCGTCGGCGTTCCCCCTTCCTCCCCTGATGTCCAGCGTCGTCACCGTCAGCCAGCAGCACCCTGCTTCCCACGAGCCGCCGCCGTCGGAGGACACCCGGACCAACGTGACCGCCAACATTTGCGCAGGGCGGTACATCTACGTGTACCGCCTGCCGCCGCGCTTCAACGACGACATCGTCCGCGGCTGCCGCGCGCTCCGACCGTGGATGGACGTGTGCCCGTACATGGCCAACTGCGGCCTGGGCCGCCCGCTGCGCGACGAGGGCGGCGTCTTCCCGGGTCGCGGCTGGTACGCCACTGACCAGTTCATGCTCGACGTCATCTTCCGCTGCCGGATGAGGCGGTACGACTGCCTTACTGGCGACCCCGCCCGCGCGTCCGCCGTCTTCGTGCCGGCCTACGCCAGCCTGGACGGCGGGCGGTACCTGTGGAACAGCACCGCGACGCGGGACGCGCTGGCGCTCGACCTCGTCGCGTGGCTGGTGCGGCGCCCGGAGTGGCGCGCCAGGGGCGGCCGCGACCACTTCCTGTTGGCCGGCCGGACCGCGTGGGACTTCCTGAGGAAGACCGACGGCGACGACGACTGGGGCACGAAACTGCTCAACATCCCAGCCGTCCGCAACATGACGGCGCTCGTCCTGGAGATCGACCCGTGGAACCGGTCGAATCACCTCGCAGTGCCTTACCCGACGAACTTCCACCCGGCCACGGCTGCCGACGTGCGCGCCTGGCAAGAGAAGGCGCGCACGTTGGAGCGCAGGTGGCTCTTCTCGTTCGTCGGCGCGGCGCGGCCCGGCAGCAACAAGACCGTCCGCGCGCAGATTCTCCAGCAGTGCGGCGCGTCGAGCCGCTGCGGGATGTTCCGGTGCAAGAAGGGGTCCGAGTGCGAGGCCGCGCCGGGCGCCATGATGCGCGTCTTCGAGAGCTCGAGCTTCTGCCTCCAGCCGCGCGGCGACACGACGACGCGGCGGTCCACGTTCGACGCCGTCCTGGCGGGGTGCATCCCGGTGTTCTTCCACCCCGACTCGGCGTACACGCAGTACGCGGACCACATCCCGGCGGAGCCCGAGAGGTGGTCGGTGCTCATCATGCACACCGACGTCACGGACCGGAACGTGAGCATCGAGGAGACGCTCGCCAAGATCCCGCCGGCGCCCGTGAAGGCGATGCGCGAGGAGGTGATCCGGCTCATCCCGAGCTTGGTGTACGCGGACCCGAGGTCGACGCGTGTAGACTTCAAGGACGCTTTGGACATTGCAGTGGACGTCGTCCTTGATCGGGTGGCCAAGCGGCGGCGAGGGGATGTCGGCGGACGCTGATGGACCGGTAGCCGGCCGGTTAGGAGGAAATTGAATGGCCTCGGCGTCTGGGCTCCGCCACCGCCACGTGAACCTTCCTCGATCGCGACGGTGCGCGCTCGTACCTAGGACTAGGACTCTAGGAGCATTTGAATGGGATTCTGGGAGTCTTCAACGCCTGTCTCTTCGGTTTAGGATCGTGTGCACGGTGCACGTCAGCACGTGTATAGCTACGGTGCGACATGGCTACCCGCGGCGTAGTGGCGCGCTCAGAGCAGCCCTGGGCATTCCTTCGTTTTTCTTTCTTTACCTCGGTCAGGTTTTGTTGTTCATTCAAAATAAAAAAGGGTGATGCTGATATAATAGTTACATTACACTTGCCTGCAATCTGAAATTTGAAATCTTCTCGTCTTGTCTGGTTACTACTCCCGTCACCTGCCTCCTTGCCGCCGGAAACCGGACGACGCCTCCACGTTGTAGCCAAGTCTACGTTCTCTGCTCCGCCATTACACAAAGAGTCTGGTCTACTACACAATCATGTGTTTTATACAGTTTCAATATATGAATTTTTTTACATCATAGGATTAAGATTCAACAGCCTCCACCCTTTTTCTACCTGCAGCTTCCAGCCTCCACAGATCACAGATCACAATTTTTTTTCTATGAAAGAACAAATCACAGATCCACCGCCGCCGCGGGCGCTGGGGCGAGCTCGCCGATCGCCGGCACCGGTGGTCACCGGAGAGAAAGAGAGAGGGAGAGAGATAAAAAAATCCATATATATTTTTTTTTTTGCTAAAATACATGTGTGTTTTATAGCATTTCTGTTACACGAAGGGAAGCACATATATATCCTCTCCATTCTCCAACACGCCCTCTCCTTTCCCATTACAGAACAGCAATATTGGTTAAGTCGGGCCACGTTTTAGGCCCACTTGCCACCTACGTATATAGGATTGCAAAAAGTCCACATTACCTCCTCAAACTTTGTAAAAGTCTATTTTTTCTTCCTGAACTCTAAAGTTAGATAACGACCTCCCTGAACTTTTAAAATCATTCATTTTACCTCCCTGACCGGTAATAAGTGGGTTTCAAAAGCGGTTTTGTCTTTTTCTTTTTTATTTATTTATGTCGACTGAATATTTGAAAAATCAAAGTAAATCACAGAAAGATCATAAAATGGAAAATCCAATTTTGTTGGACTCCACATGAGTAAATCTACACAGTGAACATATAATACTGGTATGTTTTAGTATAAGTTTTTTTCTGTAACTTTAGATCTATGTTTTTCTATAATTAATTCATAGCTACAGTTCTATAGTCCAATTGTGATGAAATTTTTATGAGAGAATTCCCTGTGAGCCATTAAAAAAGTTCTCAATTCCCTATCAACCACCGAAAAAGTTACAATGTGATATGAGCCACCGCTCTAAATTTTTAGAGCCCTACGTGCCGCTACCGTTGCAGGATGAACTACAGCTAACATAAGTTTAAAATGTCCTTTTTGCCCCTCTTATAGGTGGGCCCTAGGCGTCAGCTTCTTCTTTCTCATTCCATGGCCATGGAAGCTAGCTGCACTGCTGTTGCTCGCGCGCGGAGAAGGGAGCTCGGCCAGGCCAACGGCGTGGGCCCTCCTCCGCCCATCACCTCTGTCGCTGCGGCTGCCCGGCTCCCGCTTGTACGCCATGGACACAGCTCCCGCTTTTGTGCCATGGATAGGCTTCCGCTGCCGTGTCAGCGTGGCCTCGGCGTTGAACATGTAGCAGGGGAACACGTAGGAGCACGCCAGCACCTGCCGGCACCACAGCAGGCTCCGTTGCACATCTCCTCCATCTCGAAGCGTCGTCCACCCAAGAGCTGCCCACGGGGGCGCGGGGTGGGGTGCATGTGGGGCCTGCCCGTGGCAGCGCTAGGCCAAGGGTCAGGGTGCGCGGGAGTGAAGGAGAGAAAGAAAAGTCTCGCCGGCCATGGATGTTGCTCACCAGAGAAGAAGAAGAATAAGAAAGAAAAAGCACGCCGGCCACAGGAACATCCGCGGCAGGAGAAGCAGTGCTGCACCACGCGCGACCCCCACGCCGCCGGCCACCGCTCCCCCCGGCCTGGATCTTGGGCCCGCCCACCATCAACGGTTTCATCGCTGTGTCGATCTGCTCGTGCGTGTCGTGCAGGTTGCAGCAGCAGACGAGGCTCAGCCCCGGCTCGATGTCGACACCAAGACTCCAAGCCGCATCGGATGGCTGTCGGCTCCGTGATGCTGCTTCAGGTGGCGCGGAGGGTGCCGGCCACCGCGCTCGTGAGCGTCCGCAGCGGGCGAGGCGGCGCTACGCGCGGCGATAGAGGTGACGGGCGGAGGAGGGCTCGTGCCGCGCCGTGTGCACCCGCCGGCCGACCGCCGGCCTGACAGAGCTCCCTTCTCCTCCGCGCGCGAGCAACAGCGGTGCAGCTAGCTTCCATGGCCATGGAGTGAGGAAGAAGAAGCTGATGCCTGGGGCCCACATGTAAGAGGGGCAAAAAGGTCATTTTAAACTTCTGTTAGCTGTTCACCCCAAAGCTAACGGTAGTGACATGTAAGGGTCTAAATATTTATAGTTGCTCACGTGACATTGTAACTTTTCTAGTGGTTGATAGGGAATTGAGAACTTTTTTAATGGCTCACAAGGAATTCTTTCAAATTTTATGGTGGTCTAATTATTGTATGCTTCAATTAAAGTAAAAATATCATACTTATTGGATCAAGTATAACTTAGTTATAGATTTATTTAGGTGTATGTTTGTTTAAAAGTATTTATAAATTTATAACTAAGTTATACATGATCCTATGAGTATGAAATTTTTACTATAATTCAAGCATACAATAATTAGCATATTATAAAAATTTCACCACAATTGGACCATAGAAACTGTAATTATGAATTAATTACTTAAAATCACATATCTAAAGTTACAACAAAAATTTGTATTAAAGCATACCATATTATATGTTTATTGTATAGATATACTCATGTGGAGTCCAACAAAATTAGATTTTTCATTTTATAATTTTTTTTTGATTTACTATAATTTTTAAAAGATTCAGCCGAAATAAAAAAAAGGAAAAGATAAAACTGCCTTTAAAATCTGCGTATAACCGGTCAGGGAGGTAAAACTAACGGTTTTAAAAGTTCAGAGAGGTGGTTTCTCCAGTTTTAGAGTTAGATAGAAAAAGAACTTGTTTAGTTGCAGGAATTTGGATTTTGGGCTACTGTAGTACGTTCGTTTTTATTTGGCAAATAGTGTTCAAACATTGACTAATTAGGCTCAAAACGTTCGTCTCGTAATTTTCCACCAAACTGTGCAATTAGTTTATCTTTTCGTCTACATTTAATGCTCCATGCACGGGCCGCAAACATTCGATGTGACAGGTACTGTAGCAACTTTTTAGAAATTGGGGTGGAACTAAACACGCCGAAAATATACTTTCACAGAATTTGAGAAGTTAATATGGACTTTTTTTCCAATAGGATTGGACCACGCAGCCTGGTTGCTTCTCTTGGTTGGCCCAGCTTCCACCGCCCGTCCCGCCGGCCAGGAATTTGCCTTCCTCTGAGTGCGCGCGTCGCCTCCGATCGTCTTGGCTGAAGCCGCCATGGATGCTGACCCTATCCCGCCGCAACACATTTGGAAGACCAAAGTTACTGTACTTTGGAAGTTCTAATCTTTCCATGGATGATATGCCATCACATATCAGTGCCATGAAATTCTAAGAATTACAAATTATGTGAAAAAGAGAAGACCATTAATCATCTGCTATTTCAATGCCCTCAGGCAGTGGTGATCTGGTGTTGGATCAGAGATGCTTTGGGGTGCGGGAAGAAATCAAACATCATTAGCAGATTTTGAAGGGAAATTCATGAAAATGGCTGGAAGCAAAACGAACTGGAGATATCTGTCCGCCGGAATTGGGTTCTCCTGTAACCTGAGGACGGAACTTGACAGACAGGCTACGGAAGCTGCTCCAGTGCGTAGGCGACTTGGTGATGCTGTAGCCCAAAGATGTCAAATATTAGGAGCAGACACGGATTGCTGTGGAGTTCCAGTTAGAGCAGCCTCAACGCAACACGCTCCAGCGTCCATGTCAGAGCAGCTTGCAGAAGCTGCAGATCGGAGCTCTCGTCGAAAGCACCTTGTGGTCGTACTCACTCCCTCTCTTTTTATCTATTTATAAGTGTAGTCTACATTTTCATGCTAATCAAGATTTTTTAGGTTTCACTAAATTTATAAAAAATATTAATAACATTTGTATTTTCAGATAAATATATTATAAAATATTTAAATAACTAATTTTTATAACATTTATTACGTATCATATTAGTAATCTCTAGTATAATATTTGGTCTAAGTATATTTACCTTCTCAATATGTGAAAACGATATTTAAAGAGGAACAAAAGGAGTAGTTGACAGGATCTCCATCTCAAGGTTTCAGTATACGATTCAACAAAGATTAATAAACCAAAAATTTGAACAAACTCACCTTGACTGAGCAGCGCGTTGCAGTGAGGGTGAGTTCATTTGCATAGTCATGGGGCCCCGTTTTTCTGCAACTTATTATGGCCATACTTATTCTCTCCATTCCCATTTGTACTAAAAAGCAGAATCTAGATTAGACCAGCTTATTTTAACCGTTATTTTTACTATATTTGTACAGCTTATCTGGGAAGCATTTCTCATATAAACTTTCCATATCTATTCGATAAGCAAATAGATACATGTTATGTTTAAAATCAAATAGATATCTGAATTTGAGATATCCGTTCTGCATTACTATTCGGTAATATTCGTATCCATATTCAAATTTAAATTAAAATATGATAAATAGTGGTAACCAAATTCATATCCGTCCGAATCTGATCTGAATCCATCCTTACACACATGACACCAGTGCGGTACACGTCCGAGAATTAATCTAGCGTTGGGTGTGTCGTGCTCGTGTTCATTTTACATGCCACGTCGCTCGGGCTGGATGGATTAGTACTATTAAGCTCGGCTGTTCTGGCTGCAGCAGCCAGGTGCAGCAGTTACAGTACAAGCAGCAGGAACAGTGCATCCAGCAGCCAGCACGGTACAGCACGCAGCGCCTTATTTGTAAAGAAAATATTCCCGAGCTGCAGCCGAGCAGCTTCTCTGTAAAGCCACAGCCCAATAAGCCCCCATTAAGGCCACTTATATAAGACGGCACCACATTCATTTCCTTCATACTTGTGGCGCAAAGATTGAGCTACAAGCAAACTAGTTTAAGTAGATCTTACCACGTGTTCATTTGTAAGTGGTGTAACTTCCGTTCGGAATTTAGACTACGACACTCGCTATTGCACTGCATCTGTATTGACAACCTAGTTGTTTGATTCAGTAATTGAAGGTACAAAAGCAACAAACAAGTCTATAAAAGCTAATAGAAGGAACTGGGTATATGCATGATGAGAGGAGGAAGATGGGGAAGCGGGGTAGAATCTCTGACTTTCGAATCCAGAGTCCAAGCACGGGCACCCGGTACCGCCACGTCGCCTGTTAGCCCTTTCACCGTTGGATCAGGCGAAAATGAGACTAGACCGTCTGATGCGGGCTGGTTCGGGTCTGCTACCCGCTTCACCACCGTCCCTGGTAATCGCGAACCTTCACCTGGTTCCGCCCGATCACCTCCACCGCTGCACGTCCACCTTCTTCCCCGCGACCCCTCCTTGTCCTCGGCAGCGGCGCAGCACCACGTGCTGATGGATCCCTGCCTTCGCACTGGCAAAGCGCGCGCGCCGGCGGCCGTGGGCTACCAGCGCGGGCATGGGCCCCCGATAACGCAAGCGTGGCCCACAGTTGAAGGGGCGTGAGCGAGCCCAACAAGGCCGCGACAGAGTGAGGCACGAGCGTCAGAGCTAAATAAGCTCAGCTAACAATGGAAGAGGCCTATGGGTGGTGCAGCTAGATCGAGCATGCTCGCCGCCGTGGTCAGAGCTTGCAGCTAAGGTAGATTGCGCCGGGGACGAGGCCGTGCTGGGCTGCTGGCGCCATGGACCCGATGGGAGTAGCGTGGTTTGTGACTGCAGCTGCGAGCAGAGGGCGTCTCCGTAGGGCCGCGGAAGGCGTGGCGTGATCCGATTTACAGCGTAGGGGATGACGACGGGTGGCGCTGCACGAGCTGTGAAAGAGGGAAGAACATCCGAACAAATCGAGAGGCGAGCGACAGAGGTCGATACAGAAGTGGCGGCAGCGGCTCGATGCAAAGGGTGGCAACAGCTCAAAGCAGCCCGATAGCAGCCTGTTGTGGCCCTGTTCGTTGAACTTATCAGCCAGCCATGATACAATGTTTTCTCTGACAACAAAATAGCATCAGCCGGCTTATCAACCGTAAAATACATCAACCAAATACAACTAGCACTCTTCTGTCGTTTCGAATGCCGTCAGGCACAAGTTAATACGTGCACTTTGGTAACTTACAACGCCTTACAAAACCCTTTTTTTCCCCAAAAAACGCTTCTGTCGCTTCAAATACAGTTTTTGTCAGATTCTTAAAAACTAGGAAGCTATTGATACATATCTTTTGTCAGTTTCTTATGACCCATAGAGCAATATATGAAGTTAGATTCTTAAAAACTGGGATCAAACACCCCACCTGTTTTTACTCAGAATCTAGATTTTAGAAACTAGAAGTAAAAACTAGTTTTTAAGAATCCGAAACTGATCCAAACAAGGCCTAGCTAGAGAGGATGGAGGGAATAACATATAGCCAGCAACATGTTCTAAGACTCTTGTACTTGTTTGGAATAAAAGATCTTCTCCGCCTGTTTGGAATAAATAAATTTCTAGAGTTGTCTTAAGTCAAACTTTTTAAACTTTGACCGAATTTGTAAAAGAAAAACATCAAGATTTATGATATCAAACTAGTATCATTAGATGTATCATGGAGTATATTATCATAATGTGTTTATTTTAGGTCAATATCAATGGGAGTTCCATAGAGTTTCATGGGCATGAAATATGTTGATATGACACTGTATTGATAAAGAGAGAGATGATGAAAGTTTCATAGGAGTAGAAAGAGTTTCATGGGGATGAAACTCTTCTGCACTGTTTTCAAAATATGAGTGTGTTGGAAACTGATCCATAAAACCTCCACTAAGACTGAACTTATGTTATAGATGTTGTTATTCTTTTCTATAAACTTAGTATGACTGACACAGAATTTGAGAATTGATTTATTTAAGGGCAGGGGGAGTAATGACTTTTACACGCGTGCGGATCGATTTTAACCTTGTTCTACCACTGCATATTGTCCAACTTCCTTGATAATTGGGGTTCATTAATTCCACGGGAGAAGTTATAAGTGGAAACAGCGGTGAGTAGCAACCTTCCGGTTGACTTGTTACTTTTGCCACTATTGACTGAATTACCGATCTATTGCAATTGGAACATGGAACCAAAAGCTTTGAAATAGTCAAGCTTCTAACATCCCTTTTTTACCAGCAATAGTGTCTGACGAGCGTGGGCACCCATGCCGAGCGTGCAGTAAAAGCCGTGGATTACTACTGTACGTACATGTTTTTCTTCTAACAACGGTACTATTGTGGTTAAACATGAGGTTAGGGTAGACCTTGGGAGAAGTTGAGAACGGCTACTTATTTGTGGTGGAGTACTCCTATCTGCAGATATCGACTGGAACAACGCTCTAGAGCGCAGCTACTAGTGTTGCAAACCGATGAAGCCCACCACCAACCAGAAAAATGCCGGGGAGGGCACTGACAAGCCCGACGGCGGCACCGGCACCTGGGTCGTGCTCCAGCCGTCCCGGATAGTCAAGATCGTCATGATCTCCACCGCCTTCTGGGCCTTGGTCTTGTACTACATGCAAAATGGCGATGGCGGCGTGGCGTCCGTCCTGTTCAAGCCGTCAGCGTTCTCCCTCCCCCTGCTGCCCAGCGTCACCTCTGGCCAGAGCCCACGACCCGAGCATCAGCACGCAGGACTCGGACAGGCGCCCCCGCCGCCGCCACCGCCTCCGATGGTGCTGGCCGACCGTTGCCGCGGACGGTACGTCTACATGTACGACCTGCCGCCGCGCTTCAACGACGACCTGGTCCGCGACTGCAGGAACCTCCAGATTTGGATGGACATGTGCCCGTACATGGTCAACTGCGGCATGGGCCCGGCGATGGGCGACGAGGGGGGCGCCTTCTCCGGGAGCGGCTGGTTCGCCACGGACCAGTTCTCGCTCGACATCATCTTCCACGGCCGGATGAAGGGCTACGAGTGCCTCACCGACGACCCGTCCCTCGCCGCCGCCGTGTACGTGCCGTTCTACGCCGCATTGGACGGCGGGAGGTACCAGTGGAACAGCACGTCGATGCGGGACGCGCTCAGCCTGGACCTCGTCGAGTGGCTGGCGCGGCGCCCGGAGTGGCGCGCCATGGGCGGCCGCGACCACTTCCTCGTGGCTGGCCGGACCGCGGTGGACTTCAGCCGGAACTCCGACCTCGACCACGAGTGGGGCGACAAGCTCCTCAACTTCCCGGCTGTCGAGAACATGACGGCGCTGGTCCTGGAGACCAACCAGTGGAAGCCGAAGCAGAAGCGCAATCTGGCTGTCCCCTACCCGACGTACTTCCACCCCGAGTCGGCGGCCGACGTGGTCGCCTGGCAGGAGAAGGTGCGCAGCACGGAGCGCGAGTGGCTCTTCTCCTTCGCCGGCGGGCCGCGCCCAGGGAACACCGAAACCGTCCGCGCGGAGATCATCCAGCAGTGCGGCGCGTCGAGCCGCTGCAGGCTCTTCCACTGCGGCGCCGGCGCCAACGACTGCAGCTCGCCGGGCGGCGTCATGCGCGTGTTCGAGAGCTCGAGCTTCTGCCTGCAGCCGCGCGGGGACACGCTGACGCGGCGGTCCACGTTCGACGCCATCCTGGCCGGCTGTATCCCCGTGTTCTTCCACCCGGGCTCGGCGTACACGCAGTACACGGCGCACCTCCCCAAGGACCCCAACAGCTACTCCGTGCTCATCATGCACACCGATGTGACCGGCCGGAACGTGAGCATCGAGGACACGCTGAGCAACATCTCGCCGGCCGCGGTGAAGGCCATGCGGGAGGAGGTGATCCGGCTCATCCCGAGGTTGGTTTACGCTGACCCGAGGTCCAGGCGTGTCGATTTCACGGACGCGTTCGATCTGGCGATGGACGCGGTCATTGACCGGTGGCCAAGCGGCGGCGCGGCGTGGCCGGTAGCCAGGACTAGTGCCGCCGCCACGACGATGCGACAAAGTGGCCAACGACACCTGAGTTTTAGCTTTAATTTGTTGCTGATTACACATGGCTATGGCAAAATTCATTGAGTTCTACAGGATAAGATTCTAGCTATCCTATCTTGCCCCTTTGCAATGTGCCAGGGAGGCCAGTACGTGAAGGCAATCCGGTGATACTTGTGACCCGGGAAATCTAGAAAGAGCACAATTCAAGAATTTTCGACGTCCAAGCTTAGTATGTAAATGGTAATTAATTTTGCAAAGGCCAAGGAGGAGGCAAGAACTTGGTACATGTGGGAAGCCAAGCGATTGAGGCAAAAGCAAAATAGTTCCAAGGTGAGTAAACCAACATGGGTGCGCGCTGGAACCCGGCCATTTTGTAACAGTGTTTTAATTACACAACTTTTCATTTTGCACAATTTCTTCTTGCCGGCTTCTTTTTTCAAATCTTTGCTTCTTTAATTTCACCTTCGTGCACCATAGATAAGATACACTGTTCATTGTTGAGTACATCCTCCGTCTCATAATAAGTGCAAATCTTGCTTCCCGATAAGTCAAATCTTTTTAAGTTTAACTAAATGTATCTAAAAATACTCATGCTTATGATTTGTAATAAGTATCATTAGAGTGATAATAGAATATATTTTTATAATAAATTTATTTAGATATACAAATATTGATATTATTTCTATAATACTTGGTCAAACTTAAATTTTTTTGACTTTTTGGGAAGTAAGATGTGCACTTATTTTGGGATGGAGGAAGTGGAGTAGATATTTTCAGAATGCAACAGAAATTTTAATTTCTCTGACCAATAAAAAGCGATATACATAGATCAATTAATTTAGATTTGCACATGAAAATGATACATATTTGTAGTTTTATTTTTATCATAAAAAATATTCTCATTCATCCCGCAAAGAGTGTCATTCTCACTTCGTGAAAAAACCAAATATTTTTAACTTCGACCAAATATATACACAAGAGATTATTAATATTATGGTGCATATTAAGTATCATTAGATTCATCATTGATTATATTTGCATACTAAGCTTATTTGGATACACAAATATTATAATATTTTCTATAAACCTAGTCAAATTTAAGAAAGTTTGATCCGTATAAAACTCTAGGCGATTTTTTTTGAGGGAGAGAGTATTTTCACATATTGAAAGTTAAATAATCAATTTTAGTGAAAAGAGGTCAACCATATGTGTGTTAAAGCCTACATCAGTATCCCAAATGACAAATAGTGTAATTCCCTGATGGTCAATCTCCTAACAAATACCAGTGAGCTTACATCAATCTCCAGGTTTCGCTTTTGCCAAGGGCGGGGCTGCAGCGGCGATCAACGGGAACAGCCACGTCCGCTCCGCCTTGCGCACCATCTGATCTGCTGCGGCAGTAGTCACTCGACGAGGCCCATGGCGATTGGCGACAGTGCATCATCACGTATCGACGTGTTGCCGCTCCAGAGGTGCCTACCCTGCCACCATCCAAGCTGGCGTAGAACGGCACGAACTAAACACAGCGGCGGCGACCGGCGAGAGGGGGAGGAGCTGAGTACGTACGTACGTCGCTAGTGAGGCTAGCTCTTTGCTGCCGTAAGTCGTACGTGCGCATCGCATGGAGGAGCTATACCTACCTATGCGAGGCTGGTCTCTGACGATCTTAATCTAGTACGACTACTAAACCGCTATGATCGATCAACCTTCCGTGCCCTGAAATTGACAGAAACTACGATCGATCGATACCGATGGAGATATCACAAATAAAAAGATGGGTATAGTACCTCGAGGCCGACTGGGTCATTTGGTCAATACACTAGTAGCTATTTTATCGATAGGTAACGCTTGCACGGCATTAGAAACCGTACCGAGATTTGTGTGCCCTCGACGATCGACCAGGAACACATAATATATAAGGGGCCGGGTCAACGAAATGGAGTAGGTAGCTACAGCTAGGATGACTATGAGGGGTGGTGCACTGCACTGGTGCGTGCGGAGGGATGCATGCATGCATGGCGGCAGAGGCGATCGAGATAGAAGGCGTGGTGACTGACCACTGACCCACGAGGGGGAGCACCGAGGAAGAGAGGACGCAGCAAGAGGGTGACGAACGTAGAAACAGAAGAAGACAATACATCATTGAATGCCAGTGGCGAAGCTAGAGCTCCAACGAGGGGTGCATAGAGGGTTCAGAAATTTGACCGAATTTTGTTGATTTTTGGTTCTATCGATGACCTTCGATAAATTTACATACGAGTAATGGCGATTCATTCAGACAATATTTGTTGAACTTTCTAAAATTCTAGCCAAAATTTTATATTTTTTATCCAAGTTTTAGGGATTTCATGATTTTTTGTCCCATCGGCTCCCTCCGGTTTGTGTCTCAACCGGTAAATCAAACCCTGAGTGCAACACTTCAGTTCTACTTAGACCCTATTTGGCATGACTCTAAACAATTATGGTCCCTTGCTTGAGTGCGCAGATGAGATAGAGCCGATGAAGCTAAAAACCGGCTCCTAGTTCATTTATCTAATTATATTTTTACAATATTGATCTGACAATACTAGTAACTCAAATGACATACTACTATGGTCAACTAAATTTAAATACTAAACTCTTATAGAACCTTATAGTTTGACAAATCAAGTCTATCTCCTAATTACAAAATAATAAAAATGAGTCTCATTTACTTATCTATGTCTCAGCTGAAAAAAAAATCTCCCAATACAAAAGTGTACACCTATTCATATATTTCATATCTATTCCTATAACTGAGCCAATTAGCAAGCGAGCAGTTATTGTAAACTTATATGCCGTGGCTTTGGATTGGCATTGGTCTACTAGAACTCTTTCACGCTTCCAGTATTCCACGTTGGGCAGTGAGGGGTGCATGAACCTTGGCTGAGGGGGGTGCACGTGTGGTAATTTGAGATTGTTAGCACTTAATTTTGTTTTTGCCGTGGGTGCATTGGCAACGCGCCCCCCCCCCCCACCCACCCACCCACCCACCCACCCCCATAGGCAGCTTCGCCCCTGTCGAATGCATGGACCGTGCACTTGCGCGCGGGTTATGCCAAAGGATGTTAACAAAACAAACTAAGTACGACGAGTTAGTGACTGATCCAGAAAAATATCTACTGCTAGTCTACAACTTGGAAGAAACTAAACTACTGCACTGCCGGCCATAATTACTACCGGCATCGACATGTGATGTTGACAACCCCGCAAGCTACGGCGACGTACGTGCTCCTGTAGTCTCCCGTTCTTGGGGTGTCCACCCTACCTCTGCGCTCCCGTGCCTCTTCAGCTAGGAGATTTTTCTTTTCCGTGCCTCCAGAGATAAGTTGGGCAGTTGGTCGGTTGGGCTGCTTGTCCTGTTGGGCCTTGACTGGCCCAGCACGGTCAGCACTCATCCTTATTTTTTTCAAATCCATTTCTTGTTTTCCAATTATTAGGAAATGAAAACGAAAATGCCATAAATGGACAACACTAAGAGCATCTCCGAGAGTTTCCAAAACCCACTCCTAATCTAAATTTTTTAGCAAGATTGAAAAAAATGCTCTCCAACAATTCTTTATCTCAACTTCCAATCTTTCTGCACTTGGGTAAAGCTAATCCAATCCCGTGGAAATATATGCGTATGTATCGATCCGCCAATCTGGAGGTGGAAGGACGTGGAAAGAATAAGGAGTAGGATATGGTTCGTAATACAAATATACAAGAGATAAAGAAAGTACAAAAGTGATTGGAGTGATTTATGGCCCCGTTCAGCTTGGAAACTTGACTGAATTGGCTGAAAAACACTGTTCTTGCTGTATTGTTGTGAGAGAAAAACACTATTCCGGCAGAAAAAACAAGTTGAATAGTGCGGATTATAAGGTAAGCCGAACGGGGCCTATAAATAGTTTGGGATTCCTGATGCAAAATTATCTTCTATATTTTAGAAGTGAGATTTTGAAAACGGTTGGAGAAGTCAATAAATATGATCCCAACATTTTTTAGCCACTTGGAAAACAACTCATTTATTTACCCATTATTATTTTGGGAACTATTGGAGATGCTCTAATGCTCCATAGTACAACCTTTCTTCAAGATGTTCTAACCAGCATGCACCATTGCTGCCATCGAGGAATTCAATGTTCAAATCCATTTGATGTTCAACAAATCATATTAGTTGGGAGGTAGAGAAGCAGTGATGATCATGTTTCGTACAACAAGTGGTGCATGTATGAATATTAATCATATTGGCAACACTATTGTTCATATCCACGGAAAAAATAGCGCGCTATTTCGACGCTATAGCGGCGCTACAGCGGCCCACAGGAATGGACGCGACGCAATTGCTCATTTTTGCACTATGCGCGCTATTGCCGCTATTGCGCGCTAAAGCGCCGCTAAGTGCGTTTAGCGCTATAGCGCCGCTAACCAGCCGCTATTGCTCTGCCTGTGCTGTGGGCTCTGCCTGTGCTGTGGACGTGGAATGCAAAGTGTGTACTTCATGAGTTTATGGCTTTATGCATTTAAACTTTAAAGTTTAATCCCTTTATGATTGTTTGGCTTTGCATGTATGAACCTCATATGGTTATGTTGCCTGTTTGGCTATTTGCTACTTTGCTCTTATGATTATTATGGTGGATGTTATCAGTTATCACTTATGAGTTATGAGTTATCAGATTGAGACATTGAGTAATTGAGAATTGACAGATTTTTATGTTTTTTGGAATTGTAAACAAATAGCGCGCTATAGCGTGCAAATAGCGGCGCTATAGCGTGAGCAGTCAGTTGACGCTACTGCATTTAGCTGCTGCTATAGCGGAGCCATAGCGCCAATAACGCCCAGGACAGCCTCACGCTAAAATTGATAGCTCGCGATTTAAAACGTTGGTTCATATACATACCCCTAGTCGCTATCTCCACTTGTATGATGTTTTGTATGTTGCAGGAGCTAACAAGAAATTTGGTTTCTCTTCATTATCTTGCCACGGATAATGATGTTTCTCTATAATTTCACCAAATTATTTTTAACAAGTAACCAGGCCTAGCGCTCTTCTTAGAGGAAGATGCATAAGGGTATGTAAACT